AAAACTGTTCCACAACTGAAACTCGATGAAAGCTGATGTACATAAGTTTGGTGTTGCCAGACACATGAATAATGTTAGTTCCTCAAACATTCATGTCACGACTTTACAGACAAACTGTATCTATTCTATAATCATAATAGAATAATGAAAAAATCGATAACAAGTTCTGTTCAAAGAAGAGGTATAGCCATGTTGAGAAGTGCTTTGTAAAGTTTTTTTAATACAGAACAAAAGCTTAATCTGACTAAATACTGTTCAAGGAAAGTAATAACTTCATTAATTTGATGATTAAAATATAAATTAAAAAAAATGAATTATATAACTTTATCATAAAAATAATATATATCTTGCTAATAACAGTTATCTTTATCACATCATAATCATGTAACGGTCTTACTAGGTAAGTACTTTACTAGTATGTCCTCACAGTCATTATCATAAACTACCTACATTTATTATAATATAATAAAAATGGTTGCCTGTAAAGTCGGTTTTACGGGCGAAGATTTTACGTGACAACGTCTTTTTCTCGGTAGAATATTTATTGATATGAATATAATTAAATTGCACAATAGGAACAAGGAATTGAATGAAAATAAGAATTGCACAAATTTTAACTATAGAAATATATTTTGTTTACTAAAACATTGTACATGTAAACTTAAACTTAACACGAGAGACTCATCGTAACGTTACCGAGCGTTACACTTTTTCATAAGTGACTCCCAGCCGCAACCTAATTTAAGACGTTGTCACGTCAAAAGTATCTAATGTAATACAAGTAATGATAACCTATATATATATATAAGTAAAAATCAGTCTCATATTTAAAACGTAACTTTCTACCACACTTAAGCATTAATTTGTAAAATCATTAATGTGTGTGGCAATCAAAATCAATAAATAGGTACCATATTAGCTTAAAAGTACAAAAAAAAAGTTTTTAATACACATCACACATAATTTTTCCTCAAGCAGCGAAGAAGCACGGAGTGGACGTCGACGGACTTAGAATATGCTCTACACCACTCTGTGCTCCTGCATTAGGCAGCACATGCCCTAAAAATAATCCAGGCTATACTACACATTCTCAAGCTCTATATCAAATAAAAACGAAAGACCGCTGTCAAAAGACATTTTTTTCATGAAAAGTTACAGCTTTGAGTATCTTTTAAACGGGAGTAGCCACTAGTCCATTTCATACAAAAGTTTTTGTCAATTCTGGCGGGGGACGAGGTACACACGTATAGCACACTAACGAAAATGTGCAATACTCACATAAATACAAGCGTGTTGTTGCATTGCATGAACGCACACTTCAAAAACACGTCACACAAAAAAAACCACCAACCCGCGCTGGGTCCGTTATCACCCACCCATCCGCACTGGGTCCATTATCACCCACCAATCCGCGCTGGTTCCGTTATCGCCTTTTTCAAAGCTTTACTGATTTTCAAAGCCGGTACAAAAAGCGGCGACTACCATGATTACATGAATTTCAGGAAATTACGAGCGGTGGCTTCGCACTAAACTAATGTAATTTAATCATGTTAGTCGACAATGCATCATACCACAACAAACAACTCGATGCTGCACCATCGTCTAATACAAAGTAAGCGGACATACAGGCCTGGCTCCATCAAAAAGAAATTGAATTTGAAGAATCTATGCTAAGGACCAATTTAAGAAATTTAATATCGATGAAATTTTAAACGAAGCAAATTATTCTGTATTTCGTTTGCCACCATATCACCCGAACCTAAATGCGTTAGAAATGGCCTGGTCCCAAATATAAAGGGATACGTCGCCAGTAAAAATGAAAGTTGAAACCTTGCAAGGATAACTTACCTGGTCAATGGAAAAGTAAATTTAATGAGAGCGACACAGTGGAGAAAACTATGCACTAAAGTAAAGTAAATAAAGGCCGATTATTTTAAAAGCGATCACGTGGTTGACGCAGTGACCGAAACGTTTATGATTAGCGTAGGACCTACGCTAATCATAAACGCCGTAGGTGATAATGATTCTGACTCAAATGATAATGAAAGCTCAAGCGACGACGATTAAATGGCAACCTCTAGCACTAACACTGCTTCCTCATCTGGTTTTCATCTCACCTAGGACGACCTAATGGAAGGAGTTTCAACATTACTTTAATTTTTACAAGCTTATTATTAAATATTAAATATTCTACTCTGAATTAAACATGTTTTAATTATATTTAATAATATTCTAATATTTTTTGCCATGTACCTTGGAATAATCAATATAGCGCAAGCGCCAGCCTAATTAATAATTATTTCAAATAAAAGACCTAGTACTTTTATGTGCGAGTGTACCCATGCGCAAACACACTCCCTCCACTTTCTTTCAGAGTTCTTTTTACATGACTAATTTATATATATTTAAAAGTATCGTATATATATGAAAGATATTAGATGAATAAACGGAACAGAAAAAAAGTATTTATTATACTTTATTAGTCTTATACTTAGTATTTTATTTCTGAGATTTAAACCTACTACTTTTATAAGATTACATCACGATTATATGCGGATGGATTGTTTGATGATCGCTTGTTAAGAATAGAAGTACCAATAATAAGTCACCTATAGTTAATATAGGAAAACCTGTCATTGGCCATACTTTTAGAAATGTACCTACTGTAAATTTTGTATCGGAAAAACGCTGTTGGTTTTCTTAGAAAATAAATAAATAAATGACGCGACTTCCAAATTCTTATATCGAGGCCACAGAACAAGAACTAATCAAGGCATAATTTGCAAATCTTGTCTTGTCATAAAGTTAAAACAAACGCACGCGCGATGGATAGACTTGAAACTGCGCTCGCTCACTGCGATTTGCACCGCGCATAGGAAGGTATTAAACGCCGGGAGCGGTCATTGCTCCTGGCCGGCCGTCTTCTATTTTCCGTTTTTTTTATTAGTAGTTTTTTACTTACTCTGTATGCGTTTTTAATTATTTAGTACCCAAAAGGAGGAAATGACTTAAAAAATAGCAAAAAAAACAAAAATTTATTTTTAAATCATTTTAAAAATCAGAAAAAAATCAAAGATACTCTATATACGTTACCCAACAATCCCACGAAGTTTCATTAAAACATTCAATTTCACCTTATATAACGCACATGATCAGAGTGGCCACGTACTTTGGCGGAGGGGTTTGCCTGCCTATGCCATTTCCATTGGTGTATGCTCTAAGATCGAATACAGTAATTTTGAAGCTGTTACCTTGAAAAATATAGTAGATGGCAAAAAAATGGAAAAAATATAGTACGTGGTTAAAACATTGACTTTATTTTTGAAATGAATGTATTTTTGCTGATCTTTGCCATCATAATTAAATTTATATTTTTAAAGAAAACTTTTACTGAAAATGGTGCCAATTCTGGCGTGATTCTCTAAACTCGACACCATTGTCGATTCTAGCATGATTCTCTAAACCTAAACTTAAATTTGACAACAGTATATCCTTGTCATTCTCTATACAGAATGAAAAGGAGAGACTGATGTTTAATTTAGTTTTAAGTTTAGAGAATCATATCAGAATCGACACCAATGTCTGCTTTAAGCAAAATATAGTAGTTTCGTCTACTATTTTTTTTTGAAATAAAGTATTGATCCCTTAATATATACTATAGTAGAGTTGGTGATCCTAGCTCGTAATTCATATTGTGGTTTGGGTCCTCGATATAAAAATGAAATAGTTTTCAATCCGATCTCAACTGTTGATTATATGTCAGAGGGGTATTGAATTTATATATTTAGTATAGCGATGTGTCGACAAAATGTATGAAACCGATACCTCTGTGACGCGTTACGTCACAACACTACAAACAAATATACTACCGGCAAGGAACTTTATAAGTTCCTTGCCTACCGGTTTTATGGTAATCGCATTAAAAATGTTGTAATGGCCTTTGTTCTGTATCTCTCACTCATTCAGTTTTATCAGTGAATTATATTCAATCACTCCTGTTGACCTGTTTGTAATTTGTCAAGGAATTTATATACCTAACGGTAACAGGAACGCTCACTGTAGCAATCAGTCTCTTTTGGACAAACATTTTTTGGTCCAAAACAGAATAATTGTTAAGCTGGTGGTCTACGGCTTGAAGCTTTTGACGCGTTTTCATCGAATGCAGTGGGCGTATTCTTTTAATTATTCTTAAATTCGTTCATTGTGGATATTGTGAAATAAATTGTGTGATTTTGTTAAGTTTAGGTTTAAATATTTATCCCATAATCGACACTATTGTAGTGTTAACTACCTCACAGAAGCTTATCAAAAACTAACTCGAAAAATTTCATGCCAAGCACTCGAAGAAACATTAGAGTGCGTCACACCGACGTTCTAATGTTAAAAAAAAGATGTATAATAAAACTTAAGACAAGACTTTATGGGCATTGTTTTATTTGCCTGCCCTGAAAATAGGGAATGTTACAAAAATATCTATGGTTCACACATACTACTTTTTTTTTAATTTATTCATGACCTGGATCCAGAGTCCTTCAGTCGAGGCACATACTACCCGGCCGGCATATTCATGTTTTATTGCCAATAAATAAAAAAAAAAAAGGGTTTTTTGATGGGATTTCATCGAGTGCGGTTGGCGTCTTATTTTAATTATTCTTAAATTCGTTCATAGTGGATATTGTGAAATAAAATTCGTGTGGTTTTGTGTAACAACTGTCTGCGTAACTGAAGAATTAGTGGAATCATTAAAATATACGCTATTCTGGTCAAGTGGACGTGAGAATTTTATTGTAGTGTTGATTACCTCACAGAGGCTTATCGAAAAAGCCAACTCAATACATTGCGTGCCAAACACTCCAAGAAACATTGGAATGCGTCACACCGACATTCTAATGTAAAAACAAAAAGAAGATAAATTTAATTAAAGATTAGGCTGTATGGGCATTGTTCCTTTTGCCTTCCCTAAAAGGGGAGAACTTCAACAAAAAAAAATGTTCATGTTCTATTCACGTGTTCTGTTATTAATCTGTGCTTGGTCTGTGCTCGTGTAATTACATTTTTTGAGGTTATGTGTAATTGAAGAAATACTGTTATTTTAATAATTTATAATGACTGATTTTGTCCTTAACGATAGTGATACAGAGGAGGTGGATTCAGATGAGGAGGTATAAAATTTTCCTTTTGAGTTCGTTATAATTGTTACTTAGCCCTAGCTGTAATTGTGTTTCTTTCCGGTTCAGTTACAAGAGGCTTTTGCTAAAGGTTTGTTGAAACCAGGGCTGAACGAAGAGGTGGAAAAAGTTGAAAAACATTACATTAACAATGTGGCGGATTTGAAAACTAAATTAAAAGAATTCAAGTTAAAATTACCATGGCTCGAAACTTTGGATTTGGTCACTGCTGTTGCTCCCATGGCACCCGATGTGGCAATGCAGATACAAGAAACAGCTCAGCGGAGGAAGTATGGTTTTGCTATGAATCTTAGCTAATTTTGTTGCCCTTTTATGAGATATAAGGATTCTGATATTTTTTCTACTTTTGTTGTTTTGTAAAAATTGCCTTCAATTATAGGAATATCAAAGAAAACAGCAAGGGCCTCAAAGAATATAATCCAGCTGAGGACCCAGTACTTAATGAGTTTAAACGAGAAAATCTGATTCATCGCCAAGCTCAAGCAGCAGTTATAGAAGGTATAAAAAGGCTAAAAGAACTTAGTATTCCCACTAGAAGGTAAGACCTTGATATGATTGTTATCTGTTAGTAAATAGTAATATATATATTTTTTAAGTTTAGATAGTTCTGTTCAGCATGAGGGAAATTATTTGGATTTGGTGAGAAATTGTGGTTCCTATAGAATTTTGTATGAGGACAAAAAGTGTCTTAATCTTTACATCAAGTTGTTATTTATTATATGTACAGTTGTTAAGAAAGTTTGCAGAAGTTAAGAAACACAATATAAATACTATTATTCTATACTATATTAGGGAAGTACAAAAATGTAAGCGTTGAAATTGATAAATAAATATTTAATAATAAAGCATTTTGGTAAAATTTTTATTATTATTCCTTCTAGGCCTGACGACTATTTTGCAGAGATGGCTAAAACTGATGAGCACATGCAAAAAGTACGTAAAAACTTGATGGCGAAGCAAGCAGCACAAGCTAGAACAGAAAAAGTCAGACAACTAAGAGAACAGAAGAAGATTTCAAAAAGAGTTCAAGTAAGTTCTGGTAACTGGTTGATTGTTCATATTATTTTTTAAGAGAACAGTATTGGTTAAATCACTCTTTGCATTTTTAGATTGATGCCAAATTAAAGCAACAAGCAGAGAAGAAGCACATGTTAGAACAACTGAAAAGAGTTAGGAAGGGTAAGTCAGCTGATTTAGATTTCTTGGAAGATAATAAAGGTAAAAATGCTAAAGGAAAAGGTCTTCAAAACAACAAAGTGTCTAAAAAACGAGCTAGTAAAGATAAAAAGTTTGGTTTTGGAGGAAAAAAGAAAGGATCCAAATTAAATACTAGAGAATCAAGTAATGAGATGGATGGATTTAATAGTTCTGCTAAAAAGAAGCCATTTAACTTTAAGACAAAAAATTTCAAACCTAACAATAAGAAGAAGAACCAGAGGCCTGGAAAATCAAAAAGGAAAAATGCTAAAAGATAAATTTTATTAGGATTACAAAATAAATCTTAAGTTTAATCTTTGTTTTATTATCCTTAAGTAAGAAAAAAGTATTTTGTTATTTGTTAGTCTGGTTATACCATGTTTTTTCTACAGTGCTCTGGTTTGTCAAATTGATAACTGTTTGTTGTGTTTAAAATACTCGGACATGACGAGACGACGTAAAGATCATTATGCTATGCACAATTTCGTAAAAAAATCGCTTCTATTCCATTCAGTCAATGACTTATAATAAGACCCACCAACAGTATTTCATTTTAAAATGGTAGAAGTAGTCCCCCCCCCCCCCCCCCAAACAGCCGCCAATAGAGCGCACTAAAGTAGTCTCTCACTCTCATGCACAAAACAGGCTACATCTCTGTTTACCCTCCACGTGTCAACGATGTCAGCAACTGTCAAAATACCTAATCACCAAATAGTTGTTCATTAAGTTTTATATAAACTGCATATAATAACAAATGAAATGACATGTTTTTCATGTCTCTAATATTTACTGTGTAATTTGTGTACTGACTAATAAAAGTACTGCACATGAAAAGTCCTCCGAACAACCTAAGGCTCTGAAAGATCAGACCGTACATAAGTACGGGGCTGTCCAAAAAACAAATTGATATCATGTGACTAGACGCAGCAACGGGTGTGTTGAGTCCGTGACAAGGCTTTCATTTTTTTCACGATTCAGGGACTTTTGTTCTCCGCAGACAGTAGTCTCGGCCATAATGGTGTCTTGAACATTAAATTGAAATAATGCCCTATATTATTTAAGGCAACTACGCGATCATCCAATGTAGGTACTTTTAGGACAGAGTTTAAAGCCACGATTTTGCTTGTGACGTTGAATCTTAGGTTTTTGGTATTCATACTAATAATATAAATGCGAAGATGCGTCTGTCTTTTACCTCTTCACGTTTAAACCGCTTTAGATGGAATTTGGTGCAGAGATAGTTTGAGTCTTGGGAAAGGAAATAGCATAGTTTTTATCCTAGAAATCCCCCTTTGAGGGGGTGAAAGTGTGTATGGGAAATAACGATATTTAAATACCCTAGATACACCACGTGCACTCAAAATGTGTCCCAATCAAGAACTGCTTGAACACCAGTCAAGCACTTCGTTTCATTAAAAAAAAAAATTCAACGTTTGTTAATTTAACGCTTTTGAAGCAAATTTTGTTCTAATACTTACTATAAACTGTTTTATAAGAAAATATTTGTGATATTCATGCATGGTCGGGTAATATAGCCGTTTTCCTCGCGGTCCGTACCTGCTATATTGCTAACAGCGCATCCAGAATTGCACGTAGAAACAAAAAAAAAAAAAAAAGCTCTATATTCTTCCGCATATAGCAATTAATCGTAAAATTTTACAAGCTTGCATTTTGAACTGTCATAACTCTGACGCATGCGTTTTAATTAAGACTATATACAGTATGCATTAAAGGTGACATTAAATGTTCAAATATTGCCTCATATTGTTTTTGACTATGCGATTATTTTATAAAGCTCCGTGGATCGTCCAATGTACCTTTTGGACAGGTTTTGGGCACGATTTTGTTCGTTTTGGTGTATCTAGGGTATTTAATATCGTTGATCGGAAACCATTTTTTTTCACGCAGATGGAGTCGCGGTTTGTCTACAAAACGTTTCTTATCTAGGGAAAGAAATAATTATCGTTAACATTTTAGACAGGAAAGAAAACGACGGTTCGTTTATTGCAAAAAGTTTATATTGTCTAGCACTTGCGGCCTTTTCCCTTTTTTTTCTTCTGCTGCTGCTTACGCTGCCACGCCCTCTTCTGCTGCTTGGGCTCGACACGCGGACTTGGCCGCGGTGGGCGGTTGCTGCTGGCCCTATACTCTTTTTGGCTACGCGATCATTCAACCAAGTTTTAAAATCTATTAACTCCAGGAATAAGATTTTTCATACAAACTTATGCAGTCAATAATGGTGACGAATACTGAATTGAAATAATGGCCCTTTATTCTTTTAGGCTCCGCGATCATTAGGAGAGTTTTTAGCAACGATTCTGCTCGTGATGTTGAATCCAAGGTTGTTGTAAAGTTGATATGTCAACAAAACGATATTTATTATATTTATACGTGCTTACTTAGGGAATGAAATATTTATTACAGCGTATTTACTTAAGTTTTTTCTAGAATCCCACAAGAACATGGCATATTTCCGGGATAAAAAATATCCTGTCTCAATCCGGGCTGTAAACTATACGCGCTCCAAATTTCATCTAAATACCTACGTTCAGTGGTTTTTAACAAACATACAAACTTTCACATCACAATATCAGTAGGATTAACATTTTTGACGGAAAATAAAACTACGATTAGTATATTAGAAAAAGGTTTTATTGTCTACCACTTGCGACCTTTCCCCTTTTTCTTCTGCTGCTGCTTGCGCTGCCACGCGCTCTCCTGCTGCTTGGGCTCGACGCGCGGACTCTTAGCCGCTGTGGCCGCGGCGGCGGTAGGCTGCTGTTTGCTCATGTCGCTATGAAGGAAAACGCAGTGTGAGTAAAACAATAGCAAAACGATATGTAAGAAAATAGTTAAAAGAAACAACTGTTTCGTCAAGAGAAAGTTCAAACGAACAACTGTCTCGTCGTCCACCATTTTGAATAACTTTCAAAATGGCGTTCTGATTATAAAAGTCCCGCTGTGGCCTCGGCGGTGGTAGGCTGCTGCCTGCTCATGTCGCTATGAAGGAAAATGCAGTGTAAGTAAAACAATAGCGAAACGTAATGTAAGAAAAGAGTTAAAAGAAACAACTGTTCCGTCAGGAGAAAGTTCAAATAAACAGCTGTTTCGTCATCCGCCATTTTGTACTTATAACTTTAAAAATTACGTCGTCTGAATCAGTCTTGCTGTGTATTAACAATATCGATTTAATATTGACTGACTATTGGCAGATGGCGGAAATGGATGACGACTCGCCGTACGCTTGTACTTGGTTAACTATATCAATCGACATGTTATTGTCACTTGTATCTACAATATTGACTATTGGTAGGTGGCGGTAATGGATGACATCGCGCCATACGCTTGTACTTGGTTATCTATATCAATCGACATGTTATTGTCACTTGTATCTACAATATTGATGCAATATTGACTGACTATTGGTAGGTGGCGGTAATGGATGACGTCGCGCCGTACGCTCGTACTTGGTTAACTATATCAATCTATATGTTAAAGTGACTAGTATAAACAATATTGACTGACTATTGGTCGGTGGCGATAATGGATGACATCACGCCGTACGCTTGTACTTGGTTAACTATATCAATATTATATTAAAGTGACTAGTATCTACAATATTGATGCAATATTGACTGACTATTGATCGGTGGCTGTGGTAGACATGCCCTGGCTGCCCTTGATAACGTCACGCCGCACGCCGCGCCGCTTCCTGTACGCCGTACGCTCGTATTTGGGTAGCCATCTGTGGACAAAATACTTTGATTACACTTGGAAAATACTACATTTATGAATTTCATATTTAAGATTCGAAAGCTTAATAAAAAATATTGATCTTGCGCGTATGGCTTAATGGGAAAGGAAACTGCCAATTAATCCTGCCAGAGGAGCAAGGAACAGAACCCTTAGTACGAGTTTGCGCTCACGAAAACTATCATAATTTTCGTAATTGTAAATTATGTTTGTAATTGTATGTTCATTTTGGTGAAAAGTTACCAAATTTAAGAAGACGCAAATGATTTAATGATAGAATTTAAACATTGTTTATTTGTATTGAAACGAAAACAATAAAATCAGTAGATACCCTTAGTACGAGTTCGAGCTTACGAAAACTATCATAGTTTTCGTTATTGTAAATCGTACAAAGGGTGTACAGGTATCGAATGACCTATTTATAACAACAATTCAAGACGTTTGTCAAAGTTACAAGGAAAACTGACAAACACCGATAGAGGTGGGCTGCATTCCAAACCCAAGCTGTAGGTGCAACAAATGTCAAATAAGACATAAGTTTCATACATTTTCTGACTAAAATGAAATATCATCGTCAGGGTAAAAAGTTGTACTCAGAGCGTAGGTTTAGAACGCTGACTTAAAGTGACAGATTTCTTGTTATCGGACAGCCTAATATACACTGTCACTCTCGCAAATAATACGGTATCGCTCAGCATAAAGCTAAATAAAAATTGTTTGTACAATTAATAAACACCAAAGGTCGGACAATCTAATATTCACAATATCACTCTCGCAATTAAGACGGAATCGCTCAGCATAAAATCTATTCTGTCTGCCGTTTAGGCGACCAGTCCCTCTAGCATGATCAACTGTCAGACTACTGTCAATCTCCACTGTAGTCTGACAGTTACTGCCGATATATCGCTTTATCATATCCCGTTTCGGTGGTCATGCTAGAGGGGCAGAGCGTGCCAATTAAATCAATAATTAAAGGCAAACACTTCAAAAACATAACCCTCCTTCCGGCACAGTCAGGTAAACAAGTTTTGATTTAAAAAAGATGACAAATAGCAGAAAATTAAAAGCAGTGTCAATGAAATCGACATCATAATGGCAATCACTCTCTCGAGGAACTCAAAGGCGCAAGTGGTTAATCGTGTTCAGCTGCGATCATTGAAGTTAGCATCTTTCGCATTGGATGGGTGACCAAATTTTGCATCGCGAGCTCCTCCATGTTACGGAAGGCACGTTAAGCCGTTGGTCCCAAAAATCCGCACTGGGCCTACGTGGTCGGTCAAGGGCCAATCTCCCTTTTCCATCCTTAGGGAAGACCTGACCCCAGTAGTGAGTATTTATAGGCTGATGACGAATTACCTCTCTGGATCCGGTGGTTTGGACAGATCAGCATTGGGTGGTAACTTAGTTTTGCGTTTGCGTCTTGTATTCTTCTTTGTGCCGAGTTCAGAGCCAGGGGTACTGCAATAACAGAACAGTTGAATAAACAAGGCAATAATTTATTATGATTGCTTGAAAAAAGCATGTGCGAATAAAAAATGTGTATGAACAGAAGACTAAATAAAAATCTCCAGAATCGAACTGGCTAGTTTTTTAAGTTTCTATGGTAAATTGTGGTCACCAAAATAGCGTTTCTACATAATTAATAGGGAATATGCATGTTACTCAAATAAGCCTCATTTTATTGATGTGTAACATCTTTCCTCTCGCTTTCCTGCAATTTGTGGGAGTTATTTCGTGAAATGGGACGGAAGTGTGTAACAGGAAGTCGCGAAAGCGCGCGCTATTTGATTTGATTTTAGAACATAATGTTCAAATGGCTTATTCCTTTTGTAGTAGGTTTTAATTCTTTTTTTACTAATATAAGGTGAGGTTTCAAATGTAACACATCATACGCGACAACTGTAAGGCTCGCTCGTTTTTTTAATTATAAACTCTATTACATTTAAGTTATCCCTCCATCAATATTTGTTCAATTTCTTTTCGAGCAAGAAATTAATAAAAGTGCGAAAAACTTTTGGGAAATTCAAATTATTTCAAACGCGACGAGAGCGGTTGTGACGTCAAAAATATATCTAAAAACAAACAAAGGTGATGTTCACAGGATATGCCAATGTCAACGAGATTAAAGTGCGAGTGCGTTCCACCATGACACCCAATTTTTCACTATGACATTTAAAGGAGAATAGCAGACTTCCAGTGGCGCACATATTTTTTGCGTATCGTTTTTTATACAGATTTTGTTGCTTTGATGCAGTGTAAACAAATACTAATTATGGTTCTTATTTACGAGTTGGATTTAAAGTGTTAATAATCTATACATAACCTCAAAATCATAAAACACCCTAGTTAGTTATTACTAGCAAACCAGTGAACCAAATGTTCACCAAAAAAAAAAAAAATATTTAATTAATTGAGAACTTCGGAGATTTTGTGTGGTTTCGTTTGAAATAGAAATCACGTGATTTCTCGAAAACCGGAAGTGCTACGTTACTCATATCCGGTTTGTAGTCTTATCAGACTATTCTTAACTTATAACTTAAACATTCTCTATATCTATCTCTTACGGTTTGGCCGCTGAAACAGCACCACGGACGGACGGACGGACGGACGGACTTGTCTAATAGATAAGAGATTATACTGTTTTTATATTTATAACTTTCTTTTAAAGCTTAAGAAATAAATATAAATACATTTTCACATAATATTGATTTCTTTTTACATATTTATAACGGGGGAGGTCTTTGTTTTTTAGTATTTATTTTAAAATGTATGGAATAAAATATATAAATGTATGGAAGGAAGGTATGGAACGCAAAATATCAGTATCTTGTAAGGTCATTGATCTTGTTTGTGTTTGTAGGTTTAATTAATATATTGTGACGTCACAGCCAAGCGTTCTAAAATAGCGCGCGTTTAAAGTGCTCGTGCAAAGTGGCTATTTTATAGACACTACTATTTTTTTGACGTTAATTTTTTAAATACTGTATAAGGGGATGTAAACTTCTAAATAAAAACAAATAATGCATATTCCCTATTATACATTTTTTATATTTTTGTTTTAAGCATTTGAAGCTAGATGTTTTAAATGTAAAGGTTGTCTATAATGCGAAGAGATGGCGCTGCCTTGCAGCCTAAGAAATACTAGAAGAAATTCGACACGGTCATTAAGGTCGCGGTAGCATAATAGGTCAGTAAGTCTGCCCGGTAGCGGATGGTGCGGGTTCGAGTCCCGTCTGCCGCCAGGACCGCGTGGAATTCCTTCTAGTATAATTTTCACAAAATGTGTTTTTCTCACCCAGGCGATTGTTCTTGTTTGCTAACAGTTTTCTTGACCACCTTTGCCCCCATCATCCATTTCGACGATTCTAGGGCGTCTATATCGATTTTTGCCTGCGAAATACAATTTTTTGGTTGTCAAAATGTTACCCTTTTTTTTAATAATTTGGAACCCATTCCCTTGAAATGTAGTTAAACATTCACATTGTAATAAGGTCGATATCTCTCAGTTTAAATTAAAAAGGGAAGATGGGGATATGCTTAATTTACTTTAAAAAATTAGTCTGACTCAATTTTATAATTAAGTACTCTCAACTCTTAAGCCCGTCTTCCACTGCCAAAGAGGAATGAACTAGGGATGTCTAGCGGAGCGTTCTTCCTGTATATAAAATAAGATTGCTTTTCCATCGAGAAAGAGTTCCGAACTAACTAGCTCATTTTTACTCTTTTTGACCTCTTTATCACTTTCCCTCTACTCTTTGTTCGTGGAAACAGATGTATGCATTTTTTGGTAAACAGAGTCATTAATGGGCTTGCTCCGCTCGCGGTGTAAACCGCCCGTAATTTATATATACTCCGCTATACATCCCTAGTTCATTCCTCTTTGGCGGAGTTCCGAGTTAGTTTGCAACTAGGGTTATCATTTGGTCTGAGTAAAGGTGGGTCACGAGGCCCGCGTGTGATCGCAAGTGCGTGCATGTGTGGGGTGGGGGGGAGAGCTAACGCGCGCCGGCTGCAGCGCGGTGTAAGGTAAGGAGTGTGTGCGTATGTGTCTGCGTGCGTCCGTGCGTGTCTGCGTGCGTCGTGCGTGTCTGCGTGCGTGCGTGCCAACTTGAGTGCGTGCATGCGTGTCAACGTAGGTGCGTGCGTGCCAACGTGAGGGCGTGCGTGTGTGCGTGCCAGCGTGCCAACATGAGTGCGTGCGTGCGTGAGTGCCAACGTGAGCGCGTGCGTGCCAACGTGAGTGCGTGCGTGCCTGCCTGCGTGTGTGTGTGTGTGTGTGTGTGAGGGAGAAGTGTGTCACCTCGCGGTGCGTGAGGGCGGGCAGGGAGGCGGCCAGCAGGCGGGCGCGCGCCGGCTGCAGCGCGGCGAGGGCCTTCACGAGGCGCGCTAGAGACCGCGTGTCCTGCGGTGCCGCGCGCGCCAAAGCCTCCAGGGCTCCGGCGGCGGCGGCGGTGTCCCCGGCCCGAGCGTGCGCTTCTGCCGCGGCACGCCACACTTCGCGGAGTACGCCAAGTGCCTGATAACAAAGGTGGACGTTATAATTTCATATATATTTTAAAGGCGGACGTGTTTAATGAGGCCCAGACTATAGCCCAGTCAAAATAGACATTTGACTTAGGAATAATTCGCATAGAGCTGAAAATTCAAGCGATATCTCACGAATGATGAGTCGTTAGAGAAAAAGCGACTGGACGTTTTTTTGTAGAGAATTGTATGATCTAAACTTTTGTCTCACCTATTTTCAAGATAAAACTTACCGTTTTCGAGATAAACGGAAAACATCAAGAAGAAAAGAAGTAGAATCAAAGGGGATTTTTGACATTTTATTTATAATGATGTAGTTATAATTTTTTATTATTTTTAAAGCATGTAACTGCTTGATGTTTAAATCTAAAGAAAATATAACTAGAATTTTTTTTCTAGTTTTTTTTCTAGTTATATTTTCTTTAGATATAATGATGTATTTAACGTCTCTGCCAATTTTCAGCTCTATGCGAATTATTCCTAAGTTATGGCTTAATTTGTCTATTTTGACTGGACTATAGTCCCTCTAGCACGAACCAATATCGAATTCGTTACGTTTTCGAGTGCCAATTGTCATTGTCAAATTTTGTTTTGAAATTTGAACAGCAGCGCCACAACTGACGTAACGAGAGCTAAAAATCAATCAATACACATTTGATGTCTATCTACGTCGAATTCAACTATTCTTATTCGAAAATAGTTCGAGCTAGAGGGGTACCGTACCCTTAGTACGAACCAATATCGAATTATAATAGTAGAATTCGGACTCGATACAGGTCAAATGACAAAAAGTTTTGTATGGACATTTGAACAGCGCCACAACTGGCCTCACGAGAATTAAAAATATTCCATAAAAAACCTCTTGACATTTCACGCGTATCGAGATCAAATTCAATTATTCGAATTCGATATTGGTTCGTGCTAAGGGAACCGGAGTCTTCTACTACATACTACACTGATTACTTACAGCTATACTCAGAACTTTGAAGCGTGACTAAAATCGATACTGTTACTTTCATTGCGATAACAGTGATATAAGACAACACGTGAATTTAATTAATGAAAAATTACTTCCACATTTCTGAGTAGAATTATAAAAGTGAAACTTTTATAACATCGCTCCAACTTCTTTTAAACAGAGCAAGTTATACATACATAATTCTTTTATGTATATATTTTTTGTGTGTAATATACGTATTGCAAATAAATAAAAAAAAAAACTATACGCTACATTCATCTTATTTCACAAACTACATTATTTTCTTAATAAAAAAAATGCTTTATTTAGCCTATGCCTGTAAACAACTAACCTCTTTGTCGTCTTTGTAATGCTCGTACACATCGTGGAAGAGTTTAGACGCCTTCTCCAGCTCCCCTTCAGCGGAGAGCAGTGTACACAACAGTCCTACGACACCAGCCCGATATTTGAATTCACTCTCTTCCAAAAGCTTCACTGCACCCTTACGGTCACCCTGCCAAAAAATATATTATTCACATTTATAAACGTCGACAATATTTTTTGATTTTAAAAAATACGCTTTATTTAGAGGAGCTCAATGGCGCAAGTGGTTAACGCGTTCGGCTGCGATCGTTGAAGTTAAGCAACTTTCGCTGTGGTAGGTCATTGGATCACTGTTTGGTTGAAGGGGCTTTCATATACGGAAACAGAGGTACTTATAAATAATTAATTTATAGCCAGATAAACATTTAAGAACTGCTAAAAGCCCACTGTTTTGGAATGTATTCTATTCTTAGCGTGCTGTTTGTTATTAAGCGAATTATTACGTATCCCAAAAAAATACTCAATATATTATTAAAACTAATTTAAATAAGAAAAAGTTAATAAGAACATAATCAACTTAAAATAAATTAATTTAAATTTGATTTGAAAACATATAAAAATAAACATTCCAAAATCACATTTAATCATAAAGATTATATCAATTATGTTTGTGTATATATATATATATAACGTAACCTTTATATATATGGGGATTGTAGTTAATTTATGGTACCCTATATAACTTTTTATTAATTGTGAAATTTTAAGTTTGGTTATGTACAAGTTATGGAAATAGACGAAACCTGAACATTAAAGACGCCACAATAATAAATGAATGTACTTTTCTTTTCCTTTCTTAGTTAGATAATTAAATCTACAATTTATCAAGATTTCAGAAGTTGCAGACAGCAGTATTTGGTGGTTTGATATGGCCACAGCGATATTCTGATAATTGTGATTTATCGGCAGTTGGTAAGATTTATAAATCGAAAGAAATTTTACTAGAAAACAATAAACGACTCGGTTCAGTCATCAGAGAGGATTTGGAGCGAGCTCGCTTTTACCAGCGCCGCACGAGATTTATCGACCTTTGACTTTGATATGCCACAGTGCTAGAAATATTATGGTATATTTAAATAATAATAAGTGATATTTCAGGTCATACCTGGGACAACATCACTTGCACCGCTGCCCAGTTAAAGTTCCCGGTGCTTCAATAATAGTGAAACTGCTTGAGATCTCTTGTCTTCTTTGGCCACGGAACTCGCGTAAATTTAAATAGCATCTAAAAATATTAGGACATACCTGGGAAAGCAACACTTGCACTGCTGCCAGTGTTAAAGTTCCCCTGTGCTTCAGTAACAAAGAGACTGCTTCGGATCTCTTGCCTTCTTTGGCCAGCAAGCTCGGGAACTAGGTTCGGAGTACTAGCGTAATACATTATTACATTTAAATAGCATCTAAAAATGGTAGGATATACCTGGGAAAGCAACACTTGCACCGCTGCGAGTGTTAAAGTTCTCCCGTGCTTCAGTAACAGAGAGACTGCTTGGGATCTTTTGCCTTCTTTGGCTAGCGAGCTCGGGAACTAGGTTCGGAGAACTCGCGTAATTCATTATTACATTTAAATAGCATCTAAAAATGGTAGGACATACCTGGGAAAGCAACACTTGCACCGCTGCCAGTGTTAAAGTTCCCCCATGCTTCAGTAACAGAGAGACTGCTTGGGATCGCTTTCCTTCCTTGGCGAGCGAACTAGCTTCTACCAACGCCGCGCGACTCTCTTGTCCCGGAAAGTCACGGACGAGTTTTACGCAACATTGCTTACAGAAGTCTGGCTGTAAGATAAATAAATGTGAGGATTTCTGATGGTTTTTCGTTGTTACGGTCCAGAGGAGGTCCGCATATTATATGGTGTGAACTTAATGTTACTTTTGGCATTAAAAATCTATCTTTAATGATTAATAGCTGCGTGAGTAGCTCAACTTTATATGTTTATACATAATATTCACTAATAATATAGGTATAAAACAATTAATAAAAAATTGGTGAGAAATGTCATAATTTTAAGTTAATACGAATGTAGTAAGTTATGGGGCAAGTCGTACGTTTGTGGGGAATTAAGATATTTTGCAAAATGCATAGACCAATCTAGATTGGTTGATCTGCATTAAGAATTCATAAGAAAATTTATATGTTTGGATAAAAAAAAACTATTGAGTAAATGAAAATAAGCAAAAAGATTACCAATATAAATGTAAAATTAAATTACCTGATTGGAATATATACACAGAATAGCTTGATTATAAGTTATAGCGCTGCGTTGACGCGAGTTCAGTTTATGCTCAAGACCATCTGCAGTGGCAGCTTTCATACGTTTTCGGGAATCAAATACATTGCCGTCCCTGTGTAGATATATTCTCATTTATTATTTAATTAAAATGAAAGCACACCACACCATGGAATCAAGATTTCATAATTAACACTTGTGCAACTGGAATGTACAGTCTAAACAAATACATATTTTATCTTAACTCACCTGTTTATAACTACCAAATTATTGCTAGCAATTGCAACTAATGCTTGGTCTGAAGGTTTGTCCTTTAGAACATTCTGGTATATAGCAGCAGCTTCTTTCTCTTTGCCCATCATCTGAAGACAATAAGCTTGCTGCACCCTAAAATACAATTTTCTTTGATAAAGCCACTTGTCCAGAAAATATTTAATCACTTATTCATTTATATAGCTATTACCAATGCTAATGTGTCTCCAGATTCTCAAAGGATTTGAAAAGTTAATGTTTAAAGAAATTAAATTTTCACCAAAATTATGAAATATTAATATTTTATCAACTAGAAAAACAATAATGAGCTGATATATATAAAATCTACTGTGAGCAGTTTCCCAACAGATATTTGCTCAAATATTTTGTTAGCTAGTAATAATATGGCAATTTATGTTAAAATAACAACTTTGAAATCAGCTAAGTAAAATTCAACAAATAAGAAAAAAACTATAAGTAGATGAAATTCTAGGTAAAATGAGTCACAAGCCTTAAAAATATATTAAGTGACATTTGCATAAAACAAACAAACCTTATAATAGCAGCTTCTTCCTTAGCTTCTTCGTCAGTGCCTCCATCATCAAGCACACTTTCAGAACAAGCTTGTTCAGCTCGTTTCAATACAGGCAGTGCTTCATTGTGCTTGCCACGCATAGCCAATGTACTGCCACTGTTATAAGCTAGCTCATAGGTGGTTTCATCAAACTGTGGCAGCTCTGTGGACTTTACATAAGAGATGTTAAGAGAAATATTTTGATAGGAATATTTTTAGACGACACTAGGTACTAGTGTGTCCACAATATAAAATATAGAAGACAGTTGAATGTCTCTAAAAATTTAAAGGTTTATTTTGGATAAATAAAACCAGGGCTGGATGTAGAGGAGTGGGGGCAATGAAGGAGTGGAGGTCACTAAATATGGGCCAGATTACTTATGATTTGCACTACCCCTGGTTTGGTGACCCATCAAAATTGATTTTATTAATGTGTGTTGTGGGGGCTCCTAGGCACCGCCCCATCTACACAGCCTTAAATCTGGCCTTGATTATAACTAAAGAATACATAACATTTCATGAGTAAATGCCTCAGTAAAGATGTTATAAAAATTAATGCATACTGGATTTAATGTAGCAAGATTAGCCACAACAGCGGCCATGTTGGTTTTCCTCTCATCCTCATAGTCATCTGTTGTATTTTTGACTAGGTCACGATACAAATTGTAGCATTCTTGATATTGTTCTAAGCGGTATAAAATTTGAGCCCTGTAAGAGATCAGATAAAATTTACAAAAACAGGGTGTTGTTGTAGATATTTTAAGTAAACACATAATACTGTATAAATTAGAAGAAACATTTTCCTCTGTGTTTCAGAGGACACTAAGCCCATGTGTTGGGATATGACTGTTTCTCTATTACATCTACAGGGAAGGCCTATGCCACAGCAGTAAAATGAATTATGAAAAGAAACACCATTCATTTCTTTCACTTACCTTAGTTCTTTCAAAGCTGGTGTCATCTCTGGTGCATTATCAACTGTCTGCAAAGCATCTTTTGGACAGTTAAGCCGATACTGAGTGTAAGCCTTTTCAAAATGCAAATCGGCAGCTAGTGCTGCATTTTTTGGGTTACACAAGATAGCTAGAGCCTCTTTAAAGTTGTGTAGTTGTATAAAACATACTACTTTGCAATGGAAGGCTTTCTGCTCATTTGGAGCTATTTGAAGAACTGAAAAGAATACAATTTTAATAAAACATTTAGTTTTTTACTTCTAAATGAAATATTTAAGTTAAAAATCATTGGAGAAAGCATTGAAGTAGCAGCTAATGCTAGTCAATGTAACAGGCTTAAGAGTTTATTGGTTAGGGAGAAGGTAAAATGAAAATAAACAGTGAGAACTCATTTTAGTACAAAACCTTTGAAATTTATTAAATAATTCATGAATTACGTTAGTGATCGTTTTAATTAAGAATATTTCTTATCGAGTTATTGCTTTAAACCGTAGAACTAAGAGAAATATGGGTCACAATAAACTGTGGATATCTGCTCATATATTCCTTTTTATTACTGTGAAACTAGAAATATAACAAAAGCTTACTTTTCCCTGTTGCTTTTAAAGCTCTTTCATAGTCACCACTTTGGCAAAATTTATTTAATTCGATATAAGCCTGAACAAGGTTATTTTCCTTGTTGGCTGACATTTTTTGACAACTTGGCAAATGCCAATGTCAGAACATGAAATGGGAACAAGTCAGCGGTTTTGTCCGTTTTTTAGACAAAGGATACTCATGCCTTACAGCTTTTTTTTTGTATTTTGCTTCTTATCCTTTCAATGCAGGCAATGAGATACTCGTCATCACGACGTCACTCCCACAAATTGCAGGAAAGCGAGAGGAAAAATGTTACACATCAAAAAATATTACGCTTTAGCCAAACCATTAACATTAAGTTTTTGTTTCAGCTTTTCCCTTAATTTTATGTAGTGTATTGAAGGGTACACAACACACCTTCCATGTGTAACATACACCATATTGTACTATAAATTAGGCCTCCGTGGTGTTTAGTGGTATTGTACGCAGAGTTTCAAGATGTCATCTACTCAGAGACACATTTTAAAACAGCCTCTTGGCAGCAAATTTTGGCCCGTCAGAGGAACTAAGGCTAAGAACTCACGGCACTATTTTCTTCCGCGTCCGCCGGAGCTGCAAACGCCAAAGCAAAACTTGGGGCGCGATTTGCGGCCTTAGAGCGCGTGGGTGCAGCCGGTGTTTGCGCACCCGCTGTGTTCGCACGCGGGAGACGATCACCCAAAGACGCGGCTAGCTTCGATGGTTGCGGGATCGCAGAAAACTGCAGTCTCGTAAGTTTTGAAATAAAATAGTTCTGCTGGTTCTGCGGACGCCCACGGCGGGTGCGTGATAAAACCGCTTCGTGAGTTCTTGTCAAAGCTGATCAGAAGAACGAATGCAAGAAAATCATCAGCATTAATCACCCTTAGTTGAAAATTTATAGAAGAATGAAACCCTTAATATTTTTAAAGACTCAGTCAGACATTTACCGAAACCTCACAACATTGGGTAGGCTAGTAAGGAAAATTAACATCCTCACTTTACATCTACGGTACATTCCACACATACTGCCGGCTTTACCGGTATGCCTTGTTGTGACTTTGCCGCTGGTTGTGCAGCCGGTCTGTAGCTACGGCTGCAATTTTCTCAGTAGTGTTGCGACAAGGTTTGGACACTCATCGAAATTAGGGGTATCGTAGGATTGGATAACGTCGGATTATAATATCATTGCGTGTCTTGCATTTGTGTTGTACGTTATTGATGTCGATTCTGGCATGATTTCTTGAATTGTTTAATACTTGTTTAAAGGTATTCGTTTGACATTGTGGGTTACCTATAATGCGAAGATGTGGCGCTGCCTTGCAGCCTAAGAAATACTAGAAGAAATTCGACATGGCCCTTAAGACCATACCATTTTCCGTTACAACATGGTCACATCTAGCAAGACAGTTAGGTAGACCACTGACGGCGATCACTGTGGACTTGGTTAAAAGTTTTGTTAATAGTTTAACGGAATTGGGGGCTTGGGCTATGCCCTGCATGACCCACCACTCGGGTCCAGTGCGGATTGATGGATAGGATACATAATAAATAAATAAATAATAAATATTTCCAATACTCATACCAATTAGCTTAGCCCAAAAGTAAGCATTGTGAGGCTTGCATTATGGGATACTAGGGTTACCAGGGTAACCGATAGAATACATATATTGTACATATATAAGTATATTTATATAGAAATACATATAACACATCCATGACTGGAGTACAAATGTTCGTATTCATCACACAAACATCTGCCCTCACCGGGATTTGAAGCCGGGACCGCTCGAGTCAGCGACACCATGAAACCCGGCGTATAAACCACTCGGCCAAGAAGGTCGTCAAAAATGATGTTTTAATACATAGTGGGGTCGGGCCATGACTGTCCACGCAGGCCCAATGCGGATTGGTGGGTGGTATATAAATATTTTTAACTTCGTTGCAACTGAGTGTTCCACGACGTTCATGTTTGGTTTTTTTTTTAAATATGTAATTAAATTATTGTTACTTCTTATTTTGATTTAATAATCCTAAAACAGAACACTAGGGAACCTGTAGTAAATAGTAATTATTGTTGATTTTGATAAAAAAATAACACTTTTCCTACATAATTAATTCATAAAACTGTATATTTTCAAAACCATCGTTTCATTAAAAAAAGAACAAACTCTCCTAGTATATACACTACAAAGCATGTCCAAGGTACCTTGGACCGTGTCCGTTGTACCTTAGACGGAGCAGGTTATTTTAGGATAAAAGATTGATTAGTTTCATAGTAAAAAAAATGGGTGCGTGTACTTATGTAGGCGCGTGAGAAGTTATCCTTCTTTGGCATCGTTTAAAATTAGTTTTTAATTGCATGCAAATAATTAATTACAATAAATTAATAAAAAGTCTGGAAAAGGACACAGTCAATAAAGTTCAGTTTTAATTTGAAAAAATAAATAAATAATCAAAATATTCAATTAAAATCGCTACTGAATATAATTTATTAGAACATATGTGATTTGCACTTGTATGAAACTCAAACACGTATTCCGAATATACAAACTAGAAACATGTGGATAAATATTATAAATATGAATACCTATAACTATTACTTTATTACAAAAAATAAAAATGTGGTTTTTGGTTCTACTACACCAATGGTCAAGAGATGGCGCTGTAGTCTCCTGAATCGCGCTTTGGTTCCGTTGTTCCAGATTAATAAATACTTTTGATAGGCCTTCACAATGCAGTTGTTAGCACCCACTAAATAGAGATTCTATTTTGTTGGTAGATTTTCTTAATGTGCGGTAAACACAAAAGTAAGCAACATAAAAGTCGCTAAAGCGATCAACTTCATGCTGTTAAAATTTTGTGTTACAGTGATGCGCGCGCATCTTAAAATTTCACTCTCATCATTTTTTCATAACGCGCCTAAAGAAGTATAACTTCAAAAAAAATATTTTCATACGTATTACCTATAATTTTGATTCCATTCTTGCTGTCTTTTCTCACAAAATGTAACTTAATATAAAAATATATATATATATATATATCAAATAAAATATATCCTCGGAACCAGTCAGCCAAAAGTGATGCCTAGATATCTATTCTATAAATATGCTAATAATAAACAAATTTATGTTTCCTCATTACTTGTAAAAAAGTATAAAAATAAAATGCGCCAAGGGAATCAACTGAATAATCCGAATCTCAAGATTCGCCCGTGGTTGCTAAAATTATCGGGTGGGCCTTTACAAATAAAAAAATACTTACAGAGAGAATCCCTTTCGCCATCCGTTTGCAGTCCATATCGTCCCGCAGCTTCGTCGGTCGTGCGATAATCGTCTTATTTTTGCTTGACGTAAACGTAAGTAGGTACCGATCCTCACTCAAGTAAGTAAGCAGGGTCCAATCGGGCGAGACAAACAACGTTAAAGCACGTTAAAGTAACATCTATCGCGGAGGCGAGGACAGCGCGACTTTTAATCGTATTTTGTCGCAACTTTGCACAAGTTACGGATTAACTTTGAGAGGCCACCCACCCGCGGGTGTACCTACCATAACTGTCTTTTCCCATCCAGTTAGCTGGGAGATAACAACTAGCAAACAACATTTACCTATTTTGTCTCCTATTTTTAACTTTGTCAATTTTTATTCATTATCCTGTTAATTTACTTGTACATGTTCGGGCAAAATGGGAACATCGGATAATGTTGCCTTAGTTACTTAAATATTATAGTATCAGTCTTCACTCCGTTGGTTATATTTATAATGCTTCAAAGACGATTCGTTTGGAATTCATAATCATCATCAGTCTATTAATGCCCCCACTGCTGGGGCACAGGGCTTCCCTATGGATGGAACCTGAACCTGTGTGGTTGCACGGCCCAATCTACCTAGGGCCGTGCAACCTCACAAGTTCTATGCGGTTTGATAACTTAAACAGAATTTTAACGTTAAACATAACAGATAACCATTACCAAAATACGCATTTACATTTTATAATATCTTCTAAGTATCGGTGTATTATTTCATAAAGGTATCATTATTACTTTTCAAAGAATTTGTTGTTCTAAAAAATATGGATAAGTATAAGACATTATCATATATCATATCTACGTAAAAAATACATAAAAAAAATGTTCATCTTATGTACAGTAATTAGACGAAATTTAGTTTTTTTACCTTAGAATTAACTTAGGTATTCTCATTATGCTAATGTTTTATAATTGTATGTATTCAATTTTATTTACCGAGTACCAGTTTTCTTATGAGTGTTGAGCCATATTTAAATGTTATACAAACCAATAAGCCTACATTGCCTAAACCAATTAAATCTTTTAAAAATCTATTTGGGGTACACATTGAGCGTTCAAAACGTCATATAATAAATAACTGTACACCCCATCGGATTATATTGTTCGAGGGGGCACCGTATTTTATCAGGGCTACGCCTGATAAATTGCGCGAAATTCAATTTAAAAGGGTAATGTTTGTGTCCCTATAACAACGTCACTCGACGCCCGCTATAAACTCCATCGGGCCACTGAACAATTGAAATATCGAGCCTTCACATAACTACCTAACCTACCCCATAAAAATATTCCCCTCCATTCTACTAACGGCCTCCGAAGTAGGTTGGAGTGAAGTGAATTAGATACTTGGTCAATGATATGTAGTTTGAACTATAATTGAAAGGCCTTTAAAAGCACTACCTTATATACCTATAAGTAATATAATCTTGGAATGGAAAGCAGAATACCAAACCATGCATTCATTATTTATTATATTAACACTAGCAAACCAGTGAACCAAATGTTAATTAGTATGTTGTAAAAAAAATGTATTTAATTAATTGAGAACTTCGGAGATTTTGTGTGGTTTCGTTTGAAATTCGTGATTTCTCGAAAACCGGAAGTGCTACGTTACTCAAATCCGGTTTGTAGTCTTATCAGACTATTCTTAACTTATAACTTAAATATTCTCTTTATCTATCTCTTACGGTTTGGCCGCTGAAACAGCACCACAGACAGACAGACGGACGGACTTGTCTAATAGATAAGAGATACCTATTCAACATTCTATATTCCTATTGAGTATCTATTACTCAAAGGGCTCAACACACACTGGCGCAGAGTGGAAGCGACGCGACGCGATTATTTTCCCCTTGTCAATACCTTAATAAGGCCTTACTCCTCCCATAGGCGCGTCATTATCGGTCGATAATATCGGATGCAATTTTCCGATATTTGTTTTTAGTACATTATGCATGAGAACGAACAGTCTTTAAATTCGGAGCCATTCTCATGCATAATATGCAGTCTTTAAATTCGGAGCCGTTCTCATGCATAATGTACTATAAACAAATATCGCAAATTGCATCCGATAATAACGCGCCTATGGGAGGAGTAAGGCTTTATTAAGGTATTCCCAAGGAGAACGTGGCAATAGAAGTATGACGAAATATCGCAATAAATAATGACTGTCTTCCTATTCTTCTTAGAAGCTTCTATGACACACACATCCTACAGATAGATCCATTTACAACTAACTGCATTTGGAATCGAGACGTTAAGCTTAACAGACTTCTTGAAGCCAAGAAGAGATCGAGCAAATGATACATTTTTGGTCACCCATCAAATGAGTGACCATAGTGAAAATTGCTTAACTTCTACAAGCGTAGTTGAACGGCTTTTTTTCCGCGTCAAGGGATAACGATTGATAGATTATAATTAACCGAAAAATAATGCGTTATATTGTAAACAGTTTATAACAGTTCACAATTCTTCGACAGTTTATAATCTTGGGAGATAGATTATAATCAAACAGTATTTACAATTTTACAGTGACACATACAAATTTTAACCACGATTTTGGATATCAGAAAAATTTAGAGTATTTTTTTAATTTTTCTCGTAATCTAGGGTAAACTGAGACTGTAATACACATAATTATTTAAAATGAAAATGTTAAAGTAAAAATGCAAACTTTCATGTCGAAATACCTACTTAAAAAGCTCCATCGTAAAGTTTTCGATTTTAAGCTGACGAGTCCATAACTTTATGTAGAGCGGCGTGGCGAGCCAGTCGGGATCAAATCATCATTGTAACTTTATGAAACGTGCATTTCAAGGAATAAACAATATGGTTACGGGTTATGATTGTGATCTACTGTGTTGTGTTACACATAACTTTTTTAACAAGCCTCTTTTCTACGTTAGCTCCAACAAAGTAAGCACTTTGTAGCAGATCGCTACATAAAGTGTGTAACCTTAATTTAATTTTCGTTGCGAGGGATTTTTCTAGAAGATGTTATTGCTGTGCACAGACTTCGTTTGTAGGATCACATCACGTAAGGTTCAAAAGAATGTTGCATTGAACAGACGAATGAAATAAAAAACGTACCAAAATACAAGAGAAACGTACAAAAGGGGGACTTAATGCTAATAGCATTCTCTCCCAGTCAACTTTTGCGAAAAAAAGAAAAACGCGAACGGCGGTATAAAGCTATATATACACATAAATATAGATATAATAAATAATATAATATATATAATATTCAAAATATATACGAATTCACATAG